ACCCACATCCTTTTTGTTTTTCCCATTTATTTTATTTTATTTTATTTTTTTGTGTGGCCATCATCAAAGTTTAAAACCCCAACTAAATTAGCACCATTTTAAACACCAAAAACAACTAACCATCAAAATTAAAATACAATAAATCAAATTCAACCAAATATTTTTCAACGCTTTTAAGAGAAATCAGCTACTAAGAGAAAAAAAAAAACCCAAAATTTTTTTAAAATGAAGCAAAATATTAACTTTTTCCTGCCAAAAATTCAAAAACCTTAATAAAAAGAATAGCCCAAAACAATTGAAATGTAATACTTACTAGTAAACGACGGAGCCGAGGGCCAAGCTGGAGGCGCAACCTGGAAATGAGCAGGAGATTGGACCGGGGCCGAAGGTTGATCCGAGAGTGAGGGTTGGGGAAAAGATGAAAAGGAATCCGCCATTTTTTTTTCCTCTAGACGGTTAGTTTCTCATGCTTGAAACCGGAGGCTGAACTTTTTGTTTAGCTGAGTCCCAGGATGCCATTTGCGTTTGCATTTTGGTAAGGGCATTTACGTCTGTAAACAAAAATGAAAAGGCATTTACGTCAAAATATTTAACACGACGCATCTTTTGCCCAAATTATATGATAAATAAAAGATAAACTATCAAATACAGTAACAATAATTTTTTTAGATTTTATAAATGGTTTTAGAATATTATTAAAAATAAAAAATTATTGAAAAATATAATATGTGTTTGTATCTAAATTTTGTTTATAAAATTAAAAAATTCACTAATAACTATCAAATAATTTCTTTAATAACAAATTATATTTATTGTCATAAAGGTTTTGAAATTGCTAGATGAATTTTTAAAAAATAAAAAAAATCGTTACAAATTATTTTTAATTAGGTATGATTGACGACCTATTAAAACTTATCTTTTAATAAAATTTTAAAAATTAATTAAAACTTATTGAAAATAATTTCTTTAGATATGCGAAAATAATTTTAATTTAGCAATTGATTACGCGTAAGAGAAGATTAACACTTTATAGCATCCGATACCAATTAATTATATATTATTTTTTAATTTTGACAAAACTAATCTTAATATAGGTATTTAAAATTAATTTTTTATTTTTTTATTACAGTAAAATATAGTTTTATTTATAGTTGTGTGTTTGAAAACTAAATAAGAATCTTACATATTGAAAAATCGCTAAAATATTTTGATATTTTGGTAATTTTTAATAGAAACTTTCTCACCTAAAAATTTTTTAAGAATCACCACTCGAATCTTGGTAATTCATATTTATTTTTAGAATCAATATTTACTATGCTTATAATAAAATATGATGTCTATAATTTAATCCAAATAAATTTAATTTATTATTTTATTTATTAGAAAAATGAAAAATTATTATTGAAAATTATTCTAAATGCTTCAGTACATTTGTGGTATTTTAGATAAATTTTATCACTTAGAGATTTTTAAAAAATTACTATTCAATTTTTTTTTAAATCTCATCTTCGAAGATTTTATCTATTTTTTAGAAATAATATGTATAGATGAAATATGATGTACATAGGTTTATTTATAAAATTATTGTATTGTATAAAATTTTTTTTTGTAGGAACAATAAACAAGAAATTTTTTTATCGAAAATTCTCTTAAATATCTCAATATTTTGGTCATAGTTTAAAAAAAAAAAAATTCACCTAGGGATTTTTTGAAAATTGATACTTGAATTTCTTTAAAATTTCATCATTGAAAGCTCGTGTTTACATTTCAAAAATTAAGTTACATGCATACAATGCAAATAATGAAATGTTAGTGTACATATTTCATTTATTCATTATACGAGAAAATTTTGTTTATTTTTTTTTCTTTTTATTATTTTTAAGGGAAAATAAAAGTTTTTATTATATTAAAAAGTTTTATAAATACTTCAATATGCTAATAGTATTTAATAAATCTTCTTAACTAGAGATTTTATAAGAATCACTATACCAATTTCTTTAAAATCTTATCATTAGGAGGTCTCTTATCATTATTATTATTTTTTTATTAACCTCTTGTGATAATAATATTTAAAAAAAATAAAATGACCATCCATGAAAAAATATCATTTTTCACATATTTATTTATGTATTTTATGATCCAACCTCTATAAATATTAATACAATTAAATGTAAATAAGATAAGATATGTAAAAAATAAAAAGAAGAAAATATACCAGAAATGGAGCTTTTGGGCTACCTCCCCAAAACAAGATACTTGATACTCAAACTTCTCTAAAATCTCATTATCAAAGGCTCATGTTTATATTTCAAAAATTAAGTTACATGTATACAATGCAAATAATGAAATGTTAGTGTACATATTTCATTTATTCATTATTCAAGAAAATTTTGTTTATTTATTTTTTTTCTTTTTATTATTTTTAAGAGAAAATAAAAGTTTTTATTGTATTAAAATTTTTTATAAATACTCTAATATGCTAGCAGTATTTAATAAATCTTATCACCTAAAAATATTATAAAAATTACTATACAAATTTCTTTAAAATCTCATCATTTGGATAGGTCTCTTATCATTATTATTATTTTTTTATTAGACCTTTATGATAATAATATTTAAAAAAAATTTAAATGACCATCCATGAAAAATATATCATTTTTAACATATTTATTTATGTATTTTATGATCCAACCTCTATAAATATTAATACAATTAAATGTAAATAAGACAAGATAAGTAAAAAATAATAATAATAAAAAAAAAAACAGAAATGGAGCTTTTGAGCTACCTCCCCAAAACAAGACCAATGGTCAAAAGAAGACCTAAATTTGAATGGGCTATAGGCTAAGCTTTCTCTGGATCTGATAAAAAGTTTCAAAACGGGTTCAGGTTGAGCCACTAGGTTGGGTCGCTATGGACTTAGGCTGAACACTAGGCGCAGGTTGAGTTGACCCATTTGGTAACTTTTTTTTTTTTTTTTTTAAAGCTATAAAAACTTTAAGTTTATATATATATATATATATATTTCTTTTCTTTTCCTTAAAAAAAATTTTTTTTTCATGATCCTAGTTTTTGGCGCCCTTACATCGTCGTCGCCACTACTTTTCATCACCGACGTAACTTTTGACTAGCCTTTTTTTTACTCCAAATTTTAGCCACGACTTCTTCTTGATTTGCTTTTCTTGTATTTGGCCTCAGTTTTTTCAAGAATCAAACCTCGAATAATGCTAGATTTATATTTAAAATCTGACAAAATCACCAAAACTACTACCTCCACTGCTCGTACTAAACTCTTCTTCTAGTATGTATTCCCTTCCTCATGACCTCTTTCTATATAAAAACCAACCCAAAGCTCCTTTAGAGTCGCCCAAAATAAAGCTCTCTTCTCCTTCTATTCGTTTTTTTTTTTTTATTTTGGTGTTAAGATGTGCTTATTTATTTTACTTTTTTGGGTTTTTTCTGGTGGTTTTGGTGGAGGTGATTTTTGGTTGTAGAAAATCAAAAGGGGAATTTTTGGTTAGATATGGCTATGGGAAGTTGTTAATGGTGGTTTTTTACTTTGGCAAGGTACATTTTTGGATGAGAAAAGGCCGTTTTGTGGTGTGTAAGGTTGATGTTGGTGTTTGGCTTAATGCTGGTGATTGGTTCTTGGTTGTTAATGTTTGAGCAATCGAGAGGTTTTTGGTTTGTGGGTGGTGTAGCAGTGTGTGTATTGGCAGAGAAAGGGCTATGATTTGTATGAGGGTTATATGGTGATGGTTAATGACTTAGAGGGATGTTGTGGTGTTTTGGAAGAGGGTTGGCAAAGGTCCTGGAGTGGCTTTGGAAAGGGTTGTTAGGTGTTAAGGAGGGGTTGGCCGGGGCCCCGATCGAGGGCTTTTTATAGTTGGTATAGATGTTGTGGATGGTGCGTTCTTACATGGTATTGATTGAGTGATGGAATAGGCAGAAGGTTTGGAGAGGGTTTTTTTTTTTTTTTTTCCAAAAGAGCTTGGTCTTTTTTTTTTTTAGAAAATTTTTGGCCATCCCCTTTCCCTGTGTATCTTCATCCTTGAATATTTTTATCTGACAATTTGTAACAACAGTTCAAAGGTTTTTTAGCATGGCAGGGTATTGGAACTAAAGCTCATAAGGATTTTGACATATTATGGCAACAAGTTGCTGGCCATTTCTTCCGGTTTTGTGCAATTTTTTTTTGTTTTCTTGCATTTGTCTTTTTTTTTTTTGTCATTTTGTTATTTTTAATATATTCAATAAATAAATAAAATAAGAATAATAACAATAATAATAAAAATAAAATAAGATTTTGAAATTTAATTTGATCATGAATTTGAAATTTGGGCTTTTATTGAATCTTTTAAGTTTAAATAATTAAATTTTGAATTAATTTTGATTAAATTGAATCTTGACTCAAATAAAATTGAATTTGACAATTAATTCGAAATAAGCATTAATTTAATTATCAAGCTTAAATTAATTTAAATTAAATTATTTGAATCATAAAAGTTACTCCAAATTAAAATAATTTAAACAAAATTAAATATTTATAATTATAAATTTTAAATAATACTTAAAACTCAAAGATTTAATCTATGATATCACTTGATTGAATCGAGGATATCAACAGTCATTTATTAAAAAGAATGGGATATATCAACCTTGGTCTTTTAAAAACGTAAGATTTTATAATTAACCTATATTAAATATAACAAAAAGTTATCAAAAAATGTTTTGACTAATGATGAGAGTTTTTACTAAACATATTATTTGTTTACATGCAATTAATCTATTTAAAAAAAATAATAAATTATTTATATATTTTTTAATATTAATTTTTAATATTAAAAATATTAAAATCGATTTTTTAAAAATATAAAAAACATATTTTATATTAATAATTTTAAATTATTTTAAAATTAAAATGAAATATCAATAAAATAACACCTCAAACTGGCTTTTAAAATAATTCGGTTTGCTGAACTATACGGTCCATAAATAAGTCCATGACGACATCAAACAAACCCTCAATAACTTTGCCAATTTTTTTTTCCCTAAATTCATATTCTCTTTCCAGTTTGCAATTTCCTTCCTTGCTCCGATCACTCCGCCCTCTCTATCTCCGCCACAAGTCTCCCTTCAATTCCCCCTAAACCCCAAACGAAGATCAACCCAATCCCTTAAAATGGTTAAAAACAAGAAAAGATCACATTCCCAGCGCTCTCCTTCACCGCCACCCCAAAACCCATCGCCCCTAAAACGCCCTATTTTCCCTTCCTACCAAACAACCCCAAACCTCCACCCCAAAGTCAAACTTCTCTGCGAAATCATTTCTACCACCCCTTCATCAGCTGTCGAAAACCTTTTAGAAGACACCGGCCTCCGCGTAACCCAACTCGACGTCGAAAACGTTCTCAAACTCTCCTACTCTTTCCCTTCCCTAGCCGTCAAGTTCTTCCGTTGGTCTGGCTACCAACTCCAACACCAACATTCCCCTTATTCATGGAACATCGTCGTCGACTTGTTGGGTAAGAACGGTCTATTCGATGCAATGTGGGACGCCGTTAAGTCCATGAAGAAAGAAGGGTTAGTTTCTTTGGCTACTTTTGCTTCTATTTTTAGTAGTTATGTTAGTTTTGACAAAGTTAAGGAAGCTGTTTTAACTTTCGAAGTTATGGAACAGTACGGCTGTGTTAGAGATGTTGTGGCTTTGAATTCTTTGATTAGCGCTATTTGTAGGGAAGGTAAAACGATTGATGGTTTGGAATTTTTGAGAGTGGCTAAAACTAGGATTAGGCCGGATTTGGATAGTTACGCGATTTTGCTAGAAGGGTGGGAGAAAGAAGGGGATATCAGTTTAGCAAAAGAGACTTTTGAAGAGATGGTTATGGAAATAGGGTGGGATCCTAGGAATGTACCCGCTTATGATTCGTTTCTGAGTACTTTGATTAAGGGGAAGGATGGAATTAATGAGGTTTTGAAGTATGTTGATATACTGCATGAGAGGAAGTGTTATCCGGGAATGAAGTTTTTTAAGGAAGTACTTGACGGTTTTCAGAAAGTTGGTAATGTTAGGGCAGCCGAGTTGATTTGGAAGGCGATGGTGGATAAGGTTGGGATTATGCCAGATACCGAGATGTATAATTCAATGATTGCTTTGTATTGTTCCAAGAATTATACGGATTTGGCAAAAAAGATGTTGGATGAGATGGTTTATACTGGGGCATTTCCTGATTTGCAATCGTATAATGTGTTGTTTTATTTCTTGATTAAGAATAGGAAGTTGAAGGAGGCTTCACTGCTGTTCAATGAAATGGTTAAAAACGAGTTTTTTCCAAGGAAAACAAATTGTATTGCGGTGGTTAAGATTTTTATTGACATTGGGGACCCTTATATGGCTATAAAAGTTTGGAAATTCATGATAGAGAATTATGATTCTGAATTGGAGGAGACTGGAAATCTGTTGATTGTTGGGCTTCGTGATGCAAACAAGCTTCCTGAGGCAGTAAAGTATGCTGAGGGTATGATTGAGAAAGGAATCAAGGTCACATCTGCCACATTGTCAAAATTGAAACAGAGCCTTAGCAGAGCAAAAAAGGAAGGGGTATATGAAGAACTTTTAAGAAAGTGGAAATCCTGTTAGGCAGATTGAAAGTACTTGAACTCTGTTAGCTTCATTATAGATAAGCAATCCAAGATGGGGGTTAAAGACTCCAAAATCTTTCCAAAGATTAAAGTTCTAACCTCTATTTTAGAAACGGTGTCTGGCCATATTATGTATTGTTGCCGGTTGCCTGCATCGTCTAAATAGCTTGTTCATTACAGAAAAAATTTTAATACATATTTTCTGTCGTTTTTGTGCAATAAACAAGATAAAATTTGCTGTTTGGATGAGCAATGAATAAGTCAACCCATTTAGTACGTCTAGCTAGTTTTAATTCTGAATCATTTTTAGGGGGCAGGACTGAGCTTTCTGGTTTAGTAAAGAATCTTGAGAATTTCCTCTATTCTTTGCTGTTTGCACGAGCATAAGCATTCGAGATGTGTTTTTTTCTTTCTTGAAGGCCTTAAACCACGCAGTTTTTTTTAATTACTAGACAATCTTGCCTGTAGGTTTTTTTCTATTGTTCTATGCTTGATGCTTAATGTTCATGCATATGCTATTGTGCCCATAGCCAGGCATTTGAAAATCATAGCTATTTTGGTTGTGATTAGAACAATTAAGACTTCACTTCGACGATCATTAAGCAACAAGTCTGGTGGTGTATTTTACTTAGAAAATCTTATTATAGATAGGAGTGATTAGACTCAGTTAACAGATTGATTATCATATCAGATCCAATAAGAAATTCTTAATGACACTGCAGGAAAGTTTGCAGAGAAGTACTTTGGTTTTGTTTGCTGCATGACTATTTGGGTTGTAGTTGTGGATACCTGTTTATCCACAGAGATGTTATTGTTTACTTTGATGCTTATTTCTATCATAGCAAAAATGAAAAGAGGAGTTAGAGAAGATCGAAGAAACCCCTTCCAGTATCGTTGGTGGGGTTTATTTGATCAATATCCTACATATTGTAAATAATAGTGACAGATGTTAACGTGACATATGACAAGCCATGCCACTGGCATGTACGAACAATCCGGGCTTTGCTTAAAATTTCCAGTAAATGACTGTGTCACAACCTGCCCATGAAGAGCCAATTCCTGGATTCATGAGCTGCACAAGCTAAAGCTAAAGCTTAAGTGTATGTGACACATGCTTAAGCTATATAATACGTTAGTCGTTGCACTCTAAATGAGACATCCAATGGCTAGAATTTGCATATGTTTTATATAATACTTCAGCCATACGTTCCAATGGTTAGAACTTCCCAATTCTTTTATTCATTGACAGGAATTGAAAAGGACAAGTATAAATGAAAAAACAAGACAAGATAACTTAATATTTATGAAAGTAGACTAGGAAACACAACACCTACCAAATTACTGAAAATATCTTCTATGATTAGTGCTGTTCGCTTTAAGCATTTAAACTCTTAAAACCATTTTCAGCTATACGGTAACTAAATAAATTCAACTGAAGAAAGAATGGTATTTTCGTTGTACCAAAATATGACTAGTTTGCAAGACTATATTGAGTTGAATATAAATTATAGATTTTTTTAAAGAGGGGAGAGAAAAAGATCTGAATTTGATTTTTTGAATAACTACTTTGCATTTATCATTGACTCAATTGCGAAATTAAAATTTATTAAATTAATTATTAATTATTATATTTTTTCCATAATCAGTTATTGTATTTAATATAATATATATCGTCATTTAATCAAATTAAAAAAATAATTAAAATGTTTATTAGCAAAATCTTAAAATTAAATCAGCAAAAAAGCTGAGCAGGAAAGTAGTTCTTGTATAAAATAATTTGAAAGTGAACGAACCTCTTTTATCCATTGAGTTCTTTTTCACAAACCGCAAAACCCAATGAAAGCCCAAGCCCAAAATTTTCACACGTAGTTCATGCTTTCTCTCCAATTTTCTTATCCTTTTCCTCATTATATTTTGTTACAAAATAAAAATATCTTAAAGTTTTATTTATATTGAATTCAGTGATTAATTCAATTTATTTATATAATCATTTTAAAAAGATCACATTTAATAAATTTAAAATTTAAATATTAATACTTTGTTATTCTCATTACCATTTTTTTTGTAAAAAAATATTAATATTACAAATGTATTTAGACTAGTAAGGTTATTTTCTAGACATTTCGATGAATACTCACAAATAACAATTTTATGAATATTTATTATTTAAGTAGTGATATATTTGAATATATTTTAGTAAAAAAAACCCTCATATCATCAAGATTTGGTGGTATTGGCCCCAAAACAATAAAATACCCGACGAGGCATGCATGCTGCTGTCCCAAATAAATGAAAGAAGTGAAATGAAATTCTCCAAAATTTTTTGGTATGAAACTATGGAATGGAATATAATGATGAGATTCTGGTTAAACATCGGCGTCCAAATGCTAAGAAAGACGTCATTTCGCGTGGGTCAGCGCCATTGCCCCTGATAAAAAGGCCTAGTTTATTTAACGTCCTAGGGACCACATCCCACCTTAAGCATAGGCCCACCTAACCATGTGTTGCTAAAAAAAATTAAATAAATAAACCTTTTTTTTATTTTAATTTATTAGAAACAAGCTTAACAATAATATTATATAGCATTTATAAGGGTGGGTTATTTTGGTTGATAGAAAGAAGAGTTTTTTAAAATAATATTTTGAATGTATCAAATAAAAGTAAAAGAATACATATTTAAAATCTTTCAAAAATAATTAAATTTAAATAAAAATTAAAATATCTAAAATAGTATTATAAAATATATAGAGAAAATGTTTTTTTTTTTTTTTATCTCGATGGGAATGCCTTTAAAACTTCGTACTCTAATTTGGAATTTTTTTTTTTTAAATCTGATTTTTGAGATGGAAATGATGAAAAAGCTTTACGTTTCTTGTGTAGTACAAGATCTTAACAAAATAAAACAAGAATGATTTGTATTTAACAAATTGAATCGAGAGAGTGCGAATAAGTTGAGGTAAAAATAAATGAAAATGTACGCATTCAAAAGTAAACCTAAACAACTTGTTGAATTCATTTTTCCAATACCAAATAAAAGCATCAAACCTCAAATCTAAAATATCTAAGGTCTCACCTCCCCTAACATGCACTTATGCCAAACCTAACCTAAGTTGTTCAAGTTGTCACCTACGTATTTAAAGTTGGTCTATTATTATTAAAAAAAAGTTTCTCAAAATATTATGGTACAACAATTAAAATTATAGAACTCACATATTAATGATAAACAAAAACATTGTTAAATAAATAAAGGCAACAAGAGGTAGATGTAATTTTTAATGCCATTTAAGAAGTGTTGGAATTTGAAATATATAGAAATTGGATAACCTTTTGAATTTTGATCAATGCCTTGCATAGGAAGTTGCGTTTACTTCCTTCACTACTAAATAAAACAAATTGGACTCTAAAATAAATAAATAAATAGTAACTTTAGTATGATCATAATTCATTTTAGGCAAAACATAATTATTTTTATTTTTTTATGTATTATTTTTATGAAGGAAGTCGTAATTTGGGATAGAAAAAAGAATTATAGCTATTTGAATTTAAATTTTAAATTTATTAAATATTATTTTTTAAGAATAATTTTATGAATCATTTAATTAAAATTTGGATTTTCGTATATGATTCTTTGTTTCCTACCTAAATTGGCTAATATAGTTTTCATGATGTGATAGTATTACGGTTTTCTTATCTTTTAATAAATAAAATTGCTTGCTTATAAAAAACTAACTATCTCCAAATTGTAATCCAAGAAATTATTAACACATGATTGATTGTACATAAAGTGAAGCAACAATTTAATTATTAAAGAAATCTTAGGTATTAATAGAAGAAAAACAGCTCCATGAGCTTTAAGATTGAAATTATTTGGAACTTATTTAGAAGCATTGTTATTTGCTAAACAGCTGCTCTTTCACGGAATAAATCACTTACCCACCTTGTAAGAAGGGAGCAACAAGAATTTGACCACCTTGTCAATGGAAGAAATGGGCCAACTGTTCCATAGAGCTTAACATCCACCTTCTGATCAACTGTGTTTGTTAAACATGAATTAAAAATAAAATCAAATGAATATTTAACACTTGATCTGAATCAAATTAAACATTATAATTTAAATTGATTTTTGAGAAAAAAGCTATTCTAAAATCCTAAAAACTACAATATGAATCGATTTTCTATTTTTTCCAGGTCTAGTTTGTGCTATTTAGTGAGAGGGGTAATACTCAATATTTTTTCTTTAACTCAGGGTTAAAGTAATTATTTATCTTTTGTGAATTTTACGTACCAAAAAGAATTTAACAGAATTGCTATAACATGTCCAAATTATTTGATTCCAATTAGACGTATGATACAAACATTCTTGAAGGTTAAAATAATTACAAAGGTATTTTTCTCAAATGTTAAAAAAAAAAAAAATCAGATTCTACAAATGGCATAACCCAATTTTTTATTAACGAAGATTAGGCACATTTAGGGACTACAAAGAAATGTTTATGGGGCTTTAGATTTCAACACAATTGATGTAAGCAAAAGTTTCCAAAATTTTAATCAACTTGGCAAAGCAATGTTGAGATGATTTAATTTTCAACTGCTCTTTCCCTTTTGTTTGTTCGTTTTATTTAATCCAGTAGTAGTTTGTTAAAACTATATTTACCTAATTTGATTGAATGTATACCTTTTTTTACTCACTTCTTTAGCCAAAGAAGAGTTAGTTTTTGATACTCTTTTCAAGTTCCTTTTTTTTTTTTTTTCATTCTTGATTTCAAGTTCTTAGGTGCAAAACTACGACTAGAAAATGACATACCTTTGGCTTTCTTAATAAGCTAGGTTACCATGTGTACGGTACACAGTATACATAAAAACCAGTTTTGAAGGACAGTGTTTTTTTTTTTTTTTTTATAGTTAATTTAATTTTTCAAGATAATTGAAAAAAAAAGGTAAATGAAAAGTAATTTAACAATTTTGTTAATATTCTCACTGATTGGCCCAAAAAAACTCAATGACACGTTACAACGATCATAATCTTAAAATCGATCTTGAAAGGTTTATATTCGAATTTCAAGATGGACAATTTGAGTAATGTTTAACCATTTTGTTACAATTGCCATCTTCAAGGATACATTTGAAATTCTATCAAAGATGCTTTACTTGTTTGATACGAATTCCTCCTCTTAAAATGACTAAGGTATGAGATAAGAAACAAATATATATGACAATATTCCATGTTTCTATCACTCTATTGTTTTCCCTTTTACCTATTTTTATCCCATGTGCTAAGCATAATTGACTTTTAGCATCACCAGATTTCTTGTGGGAATTCACTCCGATCACATACTTCATCTAATTACAAATACATATTATACATTTTATCAGCACAAGTTATTGTCTTAATGCAAAAGCTTATTGGTAAATAATAGATTTGCTAAAGTTTTAAGGGCTATGAGTCTAAAGGACTATACGTATATATTGTTGAATTGTGTAATTTTATATTAGTTAAAATTTACATTTTTTATGGTTTTATACATAGGTTAGACCTTTTCATTTATTATCAATTGATTTTAGATTATATAAGATATTTACAATGTATGCCGAATTTTCTTCTATTATAAAATATTTCATTTACTAAATCTAACAAAATTATTTATATTAAGAATTATCTAACACATATACACATACACATACATACATACATACATACATACATATATATATATGTATATATATATTATAACAATCTTATTAAAAAGAGGTTTTTGGGATATAAAACAACAATTAATATTTATGTATTAGAAAATGATAATTAAGTGATTGTTTTATGAAAAAGGCTCTAGCCTAATGAAAGAATAAAAGGATATAGATTTTAGGATTTAAATAAGGCCAAAAACAAAAAAACCTCATAAAAACAGGAAAAACAAAACCCAGAAAAGAAAAGAAACCTTGGGAAAAAAAAGAGGCTTCATTGAACCCAAAAAAAAAATTTCATCCAAAAACTGAAAACCCAAAAAAAAAAACTAAACAAACAAAAAAACAAAAAAATCACAAGTCCTTGAATTAGAACCAACATTGCTAGAAGCACAATAAAAACAAAAAAAATCATTTGGCCGAATCTGTCAAGCCAAATTTGTGTCCATTTAGAGTCCATATTTTATAAAACTAGCCCAAATTCATGTTTAGGGGATTGAACGAAAGGTTTTTTTTGGAGTTTTGGAGCTTTTTGGCAACTGATGAATGACAACAGCTATCGGTTGATGGCACGACACACTGGCGTTGGATTTTAGTAATAGGGGTCGCTAGTTGGGGCTA